TATGCTAAACTTAATGCTTGCTAGGCTGACTCTTTTACCACAAATATTTTGTATCCAGCTATATTTCAGTCCATGGTGAGCTTCACAATTAAATGTCACATATAACAGAAAAAAGAATGCAAAACACATTTCTAATCCTCTAAACGAAAAGATACGATTTACCGGAGACAAGAAATTGGGCCATTTAAGCACCTTTTATGCCTCTCTGGAATAATCATGCCGAATCAGAAGGAAACTTTCTACACTCTGCTTCTGTTCTTAAAATGAACACATATTTGTATTTCCAATAAAAGGCTATTTTTACATTTACTGTCTGTAACAGCAGGGAACAGAAAAACTAACACAATCTCCACCTCATACAAAGGATGATATTGATATCACATGGCTGCTTCTTCAAAACTATTATTTATAAAAAGGCAACAAGGAAAATGCACAATTGAATCATTTATGTGTCATTGAAAAAGTAACATCTGAACAACTTTTGGATAGTCTATGTTTTTAACATTTTTACCTCCTAAAAGTAATTTTTTCCGCCATACAGGCCACTGTGTTTAATTAAGCTTTCAAAAGTCCTCTGACAATGCCAACAATTGAAAGACACTTCTGTAGCTCAATCATGCAATCATTGTGACAGTTCTATTTACAATTTGTCTTAAAGAGAGTTTCTCTGACATTGTACTTTGACAAAACATCCAAGCTGCCAGTTCACAACCTTTCTCTGTCTTATTTACAAATATAGCTTGTATGCAGGACTGAGAATCTCATGAGTCTTCGGACAGTGACCACACAAATTTTCCATCTTATAACTGTTTTGTCCGGCTCATTACTATCTGCTATGAAGATTTGTATTGAACAATTAGTGTGAGAATTTTAGCCATTTTATTGTATCTGACTTTAGCCATTTTAGTGTATTCTTCTGTCTCATTGTTTAGATGCAATACTAACTATTCAGTTGAACAGTCAATGATATGTGTCTAGAATGAATGAATGAATAAATAAATAAATAAATCACAAAATTACAATAGTAATTGCTAATAGTGTACCAAGAGGATTTCTGTGGCATATAAACAAATCAAATAATTCTATTCTGATCATTCTAATAGTTACATTTACTTGGTCCATCAGTTAATATCACACTATGTTCATTTTCCATTTGATTATTCAGTTGAAAAATATTTCTTACATTTGTTTTCCTTATGTTGGATTTGTATATAACTGATGATTGGAGAAAATGGAATTCGGGCACTCAAAAGGAACCCTCTCTATTTGCATATGCAGCATACAAAAATATATAATCATATTTATAAATGAGAATATATGTAGCATTCCACTGAGATAAATCTGAAGCATAGTAGTAGTTAAAATGCCTTCACACACACACACACACACACACACACACACACACCAAAAATAATCTTTCATTAATCCTGCCACTTTATATATTCAACAAGAATTAAAACCTAACACCAATAGACTATAAATATTTATTTTTCCTTTTCAGGAAGTGAACAGCAGTTTTATATTCACTGATATCTTGATACTTCAGTTAATATTTGCCTCCATTGTAAAATCTGAGACTGGATAACTAAACCCCTGCCGAAGCACTCCCTGCAAATCACAGACTGCTGGTATCTGGTGGTGAGTGTCTGACATACATATTGATGAAAGTCGCCTCATTGGACCCACACAACATAGCCTATTAATTTTCATTAAATTTATGACATTTCTGCCATAGCACTGGATCGTCACTCAAAATTGTATATCAAGCCAAAGACACACACACACACACACACACACACACACACACACACACACACACACACACACACACACACACAGAGAGAGAGAACAGATATGTATACATGTGTGTATTTATATTTTATGTATATCCCTGCATACTGTACAGACGCATACATACTATTCTAAACATTCCTTTTATATGAACAATGGTTAGGGTGAAGAGTGGCCTACAGACAGTTAAAATACACATAATTTCACTGTAAATATGAGTGAATGCTTTATTTCTTGTATTTGGGTGCAGTGATCCCTAAGCATTACTTATCTTAGGAAGATGGTCTTTTATTGTAATACACCAAATTACTCTCTGCAAAATGACACACAAAGCAGGTACTGTAAATACACCTAACTTAGAACACTATAGTAACCTCTTTCTGAAGAATACTTAAGTGGCTGCATTTTTACATTGTTTATTAAATGTATTTTCTGGATGTTTATCATGACGAATCAGTTCAGCTGGCTCCTGTATTTTGTTCTTAGTTTTAATTACATATTCACATATCTTATGATTATTGTTTCCTTTATACTCTTGGTAGTAAAGCAGATATATTATACTGGAATTAGTAAATGCCATTCTGAGGTTCACTTCAGAGACCCCCAAAATACCTGAATTCCACAACTTATTCAGTGACCCTGACAGTTAATTTCACTGCTGGACATTGGGACTTTATTGGTGTTATAATTCCAGTTACTTTATGATATGACAAAATTGTCTCCCATTTAACTAATTCCAGTGTGGAAACATTATATTAAATACAAATTAAAGGAATAGTATAAGAGCTCATAATTATCCATGCATGAAAGCTTTACCTCACCTGAGTCACATCACTTGCACACCCACTGGAGAGCTTCTATATATTTCCTCTGAAAACAATTAGAGGCTGATCTTACATTCCTTGCATACTCAAAACTCCCATTGAGTCCAGCTGGAGCTTTGAATGTGCAAGAAATATAGACATTATTGAACTTCTAGTATGTGTCAGTTTTAAACATATCTCTCTGCACCGGAGACACGAAAATAACTGGAGCTGGATCTTGTGGTCCTTTCATACAAGAGTAATCTTTACTTCTGTGGGTAGTCCAATTGACTTTCTTGGAACTACTCCTCTGAGTAAAGACTATCTGCAGAAGTATGGACTATGTGCATGTGAAAGGGTTTGCAGGATCAGGTCCCTAGTTTTTTTAATGTCTGTTGTGTATTGTGCATACCCCTGAATTCAGTCCTTAGCTTACTGAACCATTCAGAAGAACAAGAGACTGTTAAAAACATATTATTCTTCTAATTAGCAACACCATTACATCGTTCAGGGCCAAATTCTGCCCACTTAATGCATGCTAGGAGTCTAATTAATGGTAGCCACCCTACTTATATGAGTCAAGAAGGCAAGATTTGGCTCACAAGGTTCAACAACAGTGACAGTAGCATTCTAAACTAAAACAAAGAATTCTAAACTCCTCATACTGAATGGCTTATTTGAGACCATGGCAAGAAGAGTGGTTTTAATTCTTGCTTGACAGATACTGTGTTTTGTCTTTTAAACAGAGCAGTTCAATATGTAAATATGATGTTACATCACACAAGTGTTACTCCATATTTGGTGATTTAGCATGGCTTCAGATCTCTGAAGACTACAAATCCCTTCCGCTAGACTCTTGCTTCATTAATCATGCCCTACACTTCTGTTCATTTTCCTTCAAATCACAGACAGCACATGGAAATGGTCACTGCTATATACTACTCTGGAAAAAAACTCTTTAACCTACATGTCACAGAAGTTGAATGTGCTGGAAAATTTAAGCCATCTTTCAAAAGCAGCTTGCCACTAAGCTGACCATATGAAAGCATGGGAGGGGGTATGCGCACACACATGTGCGCACACACGCACACACTTACTGCAAAGCTTTCAAAAAACATAACTGTCACATTCGATTTTAATGAATGGTTGGAGGGGGAAAAAAATCACACTGAATCCTGCAGTGCCTACTGACCAATTAGGGTTTAACTTTGTGGCCAAAGTAAGTCAAAGATGAGATCTAGTATATCATGTCATTATGTATAGTACTTTTGCTAATACTAAACTACCCTTTGGGCTATTAAAATACAGGTATAAGTGATGTCTTATCCTAACTAATATTTCCATTAAACTAGATCAGGCATTGGTTGATTTTAATATGCTACTGTACTGCTTATATTTTATGCATAATTTAATGTGATTAGCAATACGAAGCAATGGGTGGTGTTCATATTTGCTGTAAGGAGTTTAGAAACTAACTGTGCCTTGCTAGCTTTCCAGTATTTCTCTGATTTTGTTTTTCATATTATGTTTAATTATTTTAACCTTAGCCACTGAGACATTCATATATTCAGTGTCTTTCCAGTTAAAAAAATTTATCCTAGGGAATGATACTATTTACTTTTTTTTAAATTACATTTCATATAGTTTGTTGTGCAAAACAGAACTCGGTCTTGGACATTTGCACGGGTGACATGTGGTTGTGTAAACCGCAAACAAAATCAAGATACATCTGTCAAAACCACATCAGAGACAAGAGAGAGCACAGAGAAGCATTTATCATGTGGCTGAGGAGGCAGGCTGCAGACAGCGGCCTTTCCTGTCAAACCAACCTTTTGAAATTTCCAACATGCCCTTAAACTTTTCGAATAAGCATGTCTGTGCGCTTCAGCAACTGCCCTCTCTACTCTGGCCTGGCCAGTCGAAAATGGCATCTTAAAGTCAAGGTCGGTGGTGTCACTTTGCCATGGGGCTGTGTTTAATTACAGTCCATACGCTGACAGCCAATATGGATCCAAGGCTAGCTGATGCTCATTTAACTCTTTCACCCCTGAGTTAACAAAAGACTGAAGCTAGTTCCTGTACAACACAGCAGGGTGTAACATACACATATATTAGGCAACACAGTAGAAGACAACTACTATATACAGTTAAGAAAACAAAATCCAAGCAAACCCTGTTCAAAATACACAGTCAGGTTAGATGGGATTGTTGATGCTAAAACTACTCCACCACTTGAAAATATTTTTGTGTAATTAATCTGAACCGAAATGCAGCGTATTGAACATATTGGCTGTCATGGTAAATAGAACAGAAAAACAGACACAGCACTTCCCAACTGTGAGTATTACTACAGTTTGACTGAACATGGAAATAAACTTGTAAATGCTTCTCCTTGCTTCCATTTACCTGCTATATGTTCCTGTTTAGGGCAGATTCCTCTAGATGACGTTGATAAACAATCGTCATCCTCTGGTGTGACCTGGATGCCAACCTCCACAGGATTGGATGCTTTTTTCAGCTCACTTGGTGAGGGTGAAGGTGGCTTATCCACAGCCTTCTCTAAGCAAAGACTGCCATTGCATTGTTTCCGTTTGTGCTCAATAAAAATAAGAATGTCCCCCAATGGGAAGTTCATCTGACACTGGCCACAAGTAAGGAGGTCGTGATCCCCTTCTGGAGCTCCCAACGTGCCATGCTCTGGTTCATCATCAGTAAGAATGGCTTCAAGAGGTTCGGCTGCAGTTTAAGAAACAAAAGGAGAATCATTAGAGCTCTTGTGACAAGAAGGGGAAGGTGGGGAGAGAGAAAAACATGTTGTTAAGCTCCCTGTTCAGGGATGCCATACTGTGTTTTGAATATTTATAGGAAGCAAAAATTAAACCCGTGTTACATGAACAGATAGCATGTTATCAGTCCAGCAAGAAGCAAGTGTAGTTATTGGTGTTGATAGCAAATATGTTTTAAGAAAGCAGTTGTAATAGGCAGAACTATAGGAATGGAAACGGCAATCTTATCAACATTCCTGGATTTAGACAAAGTTCTAATTTGAATAAACAATATAATTGTAAAAATTGAAATAACAGCTGTCAAAAGAATTATTGTGAGACAATCGTGGTATCATGAAGAAAAGCCAGCACTCTACTTTGTTGACAGAGGTATTATTTATGTTTATGGAGAGAGAGAAAGAGAGAGAGAGAGAAAGAGAGAGAGAGTGTGTAAGAGAGAGAAAGAGTAATGTCTGACTTTGTTAAGGAATATCCATCACCATGGCATACGTTTTGAAATGCTCAATTGTGAGTTAGGTATGTGTGCGTGTATATATGCAAATATATGAACATACACATTAAAAGACACAGGTTGTGCATGCGCGCGCACACACACACACACTCACACTGGAGCTACATAAGCCTGTACTGCGTGTACATGTATGTTTACATTTTTATATTATATATTCAGTTTAAAAATGAAAATGTGAACGAACCATGGGAAAAAAGACAAAATTAATAAATAAGGAGTCTAAATACTTACACTTTTCAGCTTAACCTCCCCCCAGAAATTAAAGAAATAAGAAATTCACTGGCATTTCTACTCACACACATTAACTAAACAAGCTACTTTCAAGTACTTAAGAAAATAAGCCAGTTACGGTTTTTTGTGGGGGTTTTTTTAATTCTGAAGAAAGGAGGACCTAAATTATTCTAAATATGTTAGCAATTGTGGTGTTCATCATATAAAAATCAGTATGGTCAACTGAATGCCACATTTCATAACAACAGTGAAAAGACCTTTCTTTAAACTTGAAATACCTTCCTTAATGTTGTCAAAGTTGACTAATTTTCTGAATGAGCTCCAAAAAGCTTCATTATGAGACTATTTCTGCACGCACAGTGGTCAGTGGATTGTATAACAAGGCAGACATGCCTTTCTTTTCTGTTTGCTTTTTTAACTTTGCACTGAAATATCTTGGCAATATGTATACAGCATTCATCACTATAACCTTGCAAGAAAAAAACACCCCTGTGTGTTGGTATTTCTCTACCTATGCAACATAATACATATACTAACAAACAACAAAAATGAGCCGACATTACAAAATATAAAATGCCTCAAAATGTTGCCAGTTAATGAAAGTGAGACCCACTACAACTCTTAAACAGTTAATCAATCTGACCTTCTTTAGTGAGCTGCCAATTTCACATTTAATGAACTTAAAGCCACAGAGAATCAAAAAATAGATTTTAATTTGACTGCAGAATATTGGAACAGATTTTGATAAAGTGCAAAAATCCAGTGAACTCAGGTTAAATTTATTTCAACCCTACCTAAGCTGAATTTTGAGGAGGAAGATCTGGAGTAGCTCCCAGTTGTGCTGTGTAAAATAATATTGAAAGAGCACCTTACGTACCTTAGCTCCAACTAGGACACACTGATACATTCCATAATTTCTTGCCCCTAATGCTACTCCTAATTTAACGTAAGGTCAACTACAGGAATATGAAGGTTATATTTGTATTAATAAAAACAATATTTTAATCATTTGGGTTTTCTGCTAAACTTACTGACCAAAAGATAACACGCAACATGCATTTACACTTTTCTAACATAGAAAAGGAAATGGGAATGTTTGTAAAATCTCTGTTTGCATTTGCACAGAGTAATTGAATATGGAAGTCATTCCAACAGATCCTCTCTACTTGTATCAAATAAAGATATTTTTTGTGTTAAAGAGTAATTGTAATTTCTGGATTACTAACTAAAAGTAGCAAAACATTTATAAAAATAAATATTCTCCTTATAACTGCTTTGATTGGGACTTTGAATAATTGTTCAGTTACAATCTTTTTCCTTAGCCTAGTTTGCTTCTGAAATTGTCAATATTATTCAGCGATGAAAGAGAATATTATGCTCAGATACCAGACAGTTAAAAGTAATGCTAAACAAAAATAGACTTTGCTAAAGACTATACTGACTGGGATGATTTACAATCAAAACCAGGAAATGAAGTGGTAATTCAGAGGTTGCTGATTACACCTCCACATTTCACCTAATTAATTTTATAGGAGGCAAAGTTCTCGAAAATAACAAGATGATCAAATGTACAGATATAAAACCTGTAACCTCAACATTTTCTATGCTCTTAATGTAAATTATTGCTAATTAACAAGAATTATATACTAATGTATGAAATACCTCTGGCACCCTGTTCATTACAAAACATTTGGCTCTTGATGCTCTGAGACAGCAAAATGGGCTTTTATTATTTCTGCTGTTTTCAAAAAAATCAGGTGCACAAAGAAAATATGAAAATTCAGTTCACCTGGTCTTGCCACTGATTTGCAGTATACATCTTTTAATTCTGGGGAAATCAAAACCTCTTTCCTGGGTGTCTAATCATTCCTTTATATTTTTAATGCAAATTGCCCTTCCATAAACATGTATTTCAAGCCTCTCTGTAGCCCTTCCTATTCCCCACCAACATCCACCAAAATTACACCACTTTCTCTATCAAGTTAAATGGATTTCTGTCTCAAAAGAAGTGTGAGGAGAGGCAATGGAAGAAAAAGAACCAGTTTTGTGTTGAAAAGGGGGAGCGGGAGGGGAGGGATATATCAGTGTGGATACAGCAAGACAGAGACGTCTAAATACCCCGGCAGCAGACAGGGCTGCGTCAAGCTGAGAAGACAAAAAAGAAAATCAGGGGAGAAAGAGCGAGAGAGTGACTGTCTAGTCCAAGTTTGCCTTCAAGTGTATCCTGTGATTGTCTCACGGTCTAAGGAAACAAATGATGCCTAATGATGTGGGCTAGTGGCCGGTGTTTTAAAACAGACAGAAAGCGGGAGCCCGGGGAAGAGAGGGAAGCAAGGAAGAGAGGGGAAAGCGAACTTGGAAAGGGCTGAGCAGCACCCGAGCAGGCAGCACAATGGGAGCAGCGTGGATCGGAAGCCTAGTGCGAACACGTGCGAGCCAGCAAGGAGGAAACAAATGATGCCTAATGATGTGGGCTAGTGGCCGGTGTTTTAAAACAGACAGAAAGCGGGAGCCCGGGGAAGAGAGGGAAGCAAGGAAGAGAGGGGAAAGCGAACTTGGAAAGGGCTGAGCAGCACCCGAGCAGGCAGCACAATGGGAGCAGCGTGGATCGGAAGCCTAGTGCGAACACGTGCGAGCCAGCAAGGTGCAACAGGGTTGGGGGGGGAGTTTTTGAGAGGGGGGTCTTATGATTTCCGTGTGCCACGGTCCCCTGCAAAGCTACGACTAGACTGAAGGGATCCCAGGCAGCCCAGCGCCGCCGGGGAAGGCTTCCAAGCCCCCCGGGGACTTCCCCGGTCTGATCTGCTGTCTGGTGCGGGAGGGGCAAAGAAGGGCCAACTAGTCCTGGCGGTCTTCCGAAATCGTTTTCGGGGACGGCGTTACCACAAACATTAGGGAGAGAAAATGGGTCTTTTGTCCAGCCGGGCTCTAGCGGCGGCGTCCGGGTTTCCTCGCCAGCCATCAAACAAGGCGCAATTAAGAACAAAGAAAGGGGGGGGGAGAAAATGAAAAAAAGGGGGAAAGAGAGAGAAAAAAACCCGCCCTCCCTCCTTCCTAAACGAAAATGCTGAGAATTAAAGACGTGGTGAAACTGATCAGGTTCAAGTTCGTTGGGGCTTTTTTGATCTTGTTCTGCCTCCTAGCGACTGAAACTCACATGCGAACCTATCTTGAACCAATTTTTTTTTAAATCCAACTCCAACACATCCCCCCTTTTAAACTCCCCCCCCCCCCATCTCACAGGGAGAAATATACCAAATGGCAATTACACTGCCAGCAAAAAATTTTAATAACTTAAATATGTATCTGTATATTACATACGGAATGGCCCAGCCAGGGGGGAGCCCAGCACGACTGGGGAAGGATTTGGGGATGTAAATCTAATCTTTCAATTATTCTGTGACAAGTGAGTCTAAGACGCGCGCGCACCAATTCTAAGGATCAATGCACTCTGGCAGATTTTTTTTCAAAAGTAACATAGGTTATTACTAGTGTCTACACTAGTGTAGGGAGCTCGTGGGGGGGGGGGATCCTGCAACCTGTTCTGGAAGAGATAGCATCTCCAGAAGTGTAACAGTTACGTTGCAATACAGAACACAACATTTTGCATTTCAAAAAGCCCTTAGAATGGGGCTAAATTACTGAAACAATGAGGGGTGGAGGGAAGAGAACCTTACTTTAAAGGAAACTTTACGAATGCAAATACTTTGGCTTTCCCTTCCTATACGGGAGCTGTTTTAACCAAAGCGTTAACATTTTCCTACGGACTATGTGTAACTCTTGCTCCAAATATCTATATCTCTGAATGGAGAAAATGCATTGTAAACTTTTACAGACAGAGAGCGAGAAGGGGGAGGGGGTGTTTGCAGGCAGAGAAAATGCACTGCAACAGACGAGGGGCGGAAAAAACACATAGAACACTTGGGGGGGAGGGATAAAATACAAGCGTGCATCTTTTTTTCTTCTCCTCCTAAAAAATATATGTTCTTGTCTCCTCCTTCCCGCTCCAGATCCGAGTTCCCTTTTGTTGTGTATGCAGCGAGCTTGCTTATCTTGCATCCAGCTTTTGTGTGTTGTTGGCGGACAGGGAGAATGGAAGAAGAGGGGGAGGATTTAAATATTTTTCAACAAATTTTCCCCGGGAGCGTCATTTTTCTTTAATTTGATCGTGCTCATGACGCTCGCTGCTCGAGTTCGGGGGTTTTGTTTTTCGTTGTGTGTGTGTGTGTGTGTGTGTGTGTGCGCGCGCTTCGCTTGGGTTTGCTCTTGTCTCTGCTTGTTGGCAGGAGGCACCCCGCACACGCGGCGCTTGTAAACATTCAGACACGAGATTTTTCCCAATCAAAATCCACTTCCACTTTTTTTGAAAATCTTCCAAAAAATAGTAAGCGAGAGAGAGCGAGAGGAGGGAATTCCTCCTGCCTCTCGCTCGCTCCGCTCCACGCCGCCGAGCCAAGCAGCCCAAGTTTGCAGGCAGGAGTTGGGGGGAGAGGGAGGCGGGGAGGAGAGGGGGGAAGGCTGGCAGGAGTCGGTTGGCTGGGGGAAGGTCCGATTGCGGCGGAGCCCCAGGGAAAGGCAACCACGGCTCCGGACGGCACAGCAGCCGCTCCTGCCCCCTATGCCCTTTCGCCGCGGAGGGGAAAGAGCCATTCCCCACGCTTGGCAGCGGAAACAAAGAGGGGCGCATTGCCCAACACCCCGTGCGCCACCAGGAGAGAAAGGGGATCTGAAAAGGGGGTGTCGGCTAAAACCACGCGCCCCTGGACTTTCTCTTCACTCCACTTGGCTACACTCTCTTGTCTGTCTGTCCGTGCGCCAGTCCGTCTCTCCTGCCGGGATTTCTTTGCACTCCACTCCCCCCCACCCAACCCCCGCCACAACAAATTTTGCACCTCGCTGCAAACTGGGCGAATGGCTGTTTTCCCAAGTCCGAATGGGCACGATTTAAAAATACAAACCAAAGCCACAGGAGGAGGAGGGTGGGTGGGTGTGTGGCAAAAGCAAAGAAGGAAGAGCGAGCGAGCGAGGGGCATGCTCCAGGAGCAAAGAAAAGAAAAGTGAGCGAGGTGATTTAATTAGAGAGGGGGGAAAATCCAAGCCCGGGGTGAGAGCCTTTCCACCCCTCTCGCCCGCCTTTCTCCGCAATGAAACAACCCGCGCGAAGGAGGCACGGAATCAAAGGCACGTTGCGCTTTGGGTTACTTACGCGAAAATTCCCGCTTGCTTAAGTGCTGGGGTTTGCCTTGCTTGCGGCGAGACATGGTGGGCTGCTGGCTGCGGTGGCTTGTGAGCCGCTCGGTTCACATCGGGAGAGCCGGGTGAGAAAGGAAGGAGACTCCAGAGAAAATATCTTCATCAATGTCTTTTGACATCCAAAATAAATTAGAAATAATACAAAGATGGCGCAGGGAAGATGAATTGTGGGATAGCAGTCATGGCTTTTTTTTTTTTGTGCAAGAAAAAAAAAGAGAGAGAGAGAGGGAGAGAGAGAGAGGGAAGGAGAGAGAGAGAGATGAAAAAAATGGCAAAAGCCCCCCTGAGCTGCAAGTTCAAGTGCGGACGTGACGTCCCCGCGAACTTGAACGTCAGGCGCCTGGATGGACAGAGACATACAAAACATGGGCAGGGCAAGCGGGAGAGAGGGGGAGGAGGGAAGAGGAAGGCAACACCAATGGACACTCATCAGGGGCTGGACATGAAAATGAGAGCAGGACAAGCCAATGGACAGTGATCGCAGGGGGGAAAGGGGAGGGGGGAGGGAGGCCGGGCGCCAGACACCGGGCGCACGCTGCTTGGCGGAGTTGGGGCGGAGAGGGCTGGGCGCGCCGGGCACTAGTGGCCGCAGAGGAGGGAAGTAAGAGCAGAAACGCCAGAGTGGCCAGGCTGGGAGGGGGAAAAATCAATAAATAAAAGCAGCCGCCTCCCCCTTCGCTTCTGCCCCTCGCCAGCCTGAGGCTTGCTTAGGTAACCTGCGACAGGATGCTCCCAGGAGGGTGAGGGAAGGCAGGTAGTGTGCGAGCCCACCCGGGAGGCAAAGCCATGGCCCTACAAACTTTACCACGCCGCCCAAGCCAAGCCGCCCGGGAGACGCGCAGGCTGCGCCTGGCAGGCACAGGGTCTGGCAGCCAGCACAAAGGGCGGGAAGGGGAAGGGCTGGAAGGAGAAAAGTTGGGCGCTTGGAGCAGCGCGGGGAGAGGAGGCGAGAACCAGGCTCCTGCCTGGAAGGCTGGAGCGGGGAGCAAGGGGAAGCGTTTCGGAGGCAGAGGCTGAAAAGCGGCAGAAGCAGAGAAGGCAGAAGGAAGGAGGTGGAATTTCACACTGCCCCCCCCCCCCAAAAAAACAAAAACAAATTAATGACACAACTGGCCCGGGCAGTCTGCAAGCCAAGCAGCGCTCTGAGCTGGAAAGAGAACTGTCTGCCAGTGTCCACTCAAACTAACGGGGGCGCGGAAAGCAATGCGAGGGGGACAAGCCAGAGCTCCCTGCCAGGCAGGAGCGAGCCAAGCGGGGCGCAGGGCTGGAAGTGGGGGAGCGGGGTGCAGCAGCGTTGGTGGTCACTTACCGGGGGGGACATATTCCCCACTCCTGGCCCGGGACGGGATCGGGCTGCACTAAGGCTAAGCGGGAGGGGAGGAAGAGAGCATTTGTGGCAATTGTCCCGCAGATCAAACAAAACAAACGCGTGGGGCAGAGAGAGGTGGGGGACCCGGCCTTCGAGCGCACCCGCTAGCCGCCCCAGACAAGGAGAAAGCAGAGAGAGAGAGGGACGAGAGAAGCGAGGGGCAAAGCCAAAGAGGGGAGAAGTGGCTGCAGCGCAGGAAGGGGAATGAAGCAGCCTCTTGCTGTGACTGTAAGATTTTAACACGCCAAACTGTCCTCATGACGTTACCCGGAGAGAGCGGGGCGGGGGGGATGGAAATCTTCCCGTTTGCTCGCAGAAGCAGCGGGGAAGGCAAGTGGCCCGGGCTGTCGGGGAACCCCCAGCCGCTTCCGATCCGAGGGCTCCTTTCGCGTGTGTGCGAAGCGCACGCGTTTGGGCTTGGAACGCCCTTTGGGGAGAACCGAGAGGGGACCTGTTGGAAATGAAACTCTGTCTCTTTAATGGACACACACACACACACACACATACACACACACACACACACACACACACACACCTGCTGTCACGGATCTATTTCTTTTGGGGGAGTACAGCAATAGCGCGCGCTTCCACCCACCCTACGAGCTGAAGTTTATTCCCAAACATCCCTTCAAGCCTCAACTTCTTCCAGTATTCGCACCCCTTCCCCCGGCTGGCTAGACTAGGCGCGGAGTGGGGGAAAGTGGGGCAGGGAGGGTGGGTGTGCTAGTGCTGGTGCCAGGCGGCTTCAAAGGGACTGCAGGTGAACCAGTCTAATTGGACGTAGCGGAGATCTCTCTCCTGTCTTGATGCGCAATATCCTCCTCCCGAGGCACTGAACTACCGCCAGATCTGGTTTGTTATTGCACTTCCCAGCATTGCACTCAAGACAAGAGGTGTCTGCTGTGCACAGTGCCCTGCGTTGTTGGTTTTTTGGGGTTTTTTTTGTAATACAGACACAGATGTACCCACACATCCCCCCCCCCTACACACACACGCGCGCACTCATTCCCTCTCTTACTACAGTTCTATGCTCCAGCTACATTGTGGAGCTACCCACAGCGACTTGCGATTCAACTGCTAGTCCTGCTGTCACACGCTGCCTGCCCCAGGTGCGCTGACTCCGTAAAGTTTTACCCCTCTATTCAAAGGGCGCAGTGGAGTGAGTGCTTTTCAAAGGGGGGCGTTCACGGCTATGAAGGGGGTCTTCCTAGTGTAAAAAAAATACATTATTTCCCAACGCCTGGGAAGAGGCAGGATCCCTTTGCAGTAAGGCTCTGTAACCACGTACCTGACACGATTTCCTCTTTTGCATGGGCTCTGCCGAGCAGGTCAGCATCTGGCTTATGCCACTCTCTCTCTGTTTTTTATCTTCCTCTTAGTTAGCCAGCCTCCTTGGAGCTATAAATGAATCTCATTTCTCTGCTTTTTGGCGGAGGTGGTGCGGGTAGAGGACGGGCGGAAAACATGGATGTATTCTGTATGACTTTTTAAATACAAATTATTTCAGGGGACAATAGCAAACTGCCTCTCCCTTTTGGGACCACGCTGCATTGAAGGGGGCACCCAACCTCTGCATCTGCACATAGATGCCTTTCCAGAATGTACATAAATAGGCGGGTACTTGCAGATACGTATAAGATGTGATTTATAGATAAGAGCGTATACACAGCTCTTCAAGGTGGCTGCAGTGTAAAAAGTAATGACTTTATTACCCCTGAAAGGTTCTGTGGTTCATACTTAACAGTCTTCTGAATTACAATTCATTACGCAGTTGTGCGCTCTCGAAAGCCATCCTACCAGCAGTACACCTCTCTGTGGTTATTCCCAATAAATAACCGGCAACATTGTATTGATTTTCTTTTAAAAATCATCGGAAATTAAGCACTTAGTTATAACTAGATCTGTTTTATTATTGAACTATGCTTGAGATTCCAGAGGTGACTTCCTAAACCACATCTTAAAACATACATTAAAAAGTCAATTTTACAGATGCTCTAGTGAGTGGCAGCTAGACGGTATCCACCATTAGCATAGATTTAATTTCAGCATCCTAAAATCCTCCATTTAAATAGAAAGTCTTTCCTTTAAAACAATGTTTCATCTTGCGTGGATGCTTATTAATATTGTCATTTGATCACAACTGCGCTTCTCTCTCTTTTCTCCCTCTCTCTTTGCGTTGCCATGTGGTTTCAGAAAGGTAACTAATCTCAGGAAAGAAAAGAAGTCAGGAGACTTTTTAAAAATATCTTCTCGCAGATTAATGATTCAGGCGGACTTGGAGAGGGTAGGAGGAGTGAAAGGGGTAGTTTAACCAGCACACATGGGTACCACATAACTATATTTACAATCCCTGATGTGATGCTTGGTGGGTAATCAATTATGACAGCGTTAAAATATTTTCTGGCAGTCCAGTTAACTGCGTTTGGGGTTTACTGATTCCATTTATGCTTTGTAATTATGGTCCACGGGCTCTCCCTAAACCCTTTTGGAGTAATGTGTGTAAACTCTTAACTAATAGATTTTTTTTGAACGCAAGGACTTTTCTCGGCACTTCCTGCAATATATATTCTGTCTCTGATGGCTGTATTTAATGGCCAAGTCCTGGTTTATGCTTTATAATCTGTTGACAAGTTTTCTAACAGACTTTCTGAAATAATGCACATATATTCAGGTCGGTTAGAAACTCCACAGTATTTTTAGAGTCGAGTAGATCTATATCCTAATGCACTGAGAGAGAGTGTAAATCATAGAGGATTTCATAGCCCTTTCAGTAGTTTTCTGTATGAAGTATGAGCAGCGTGGCCTCCAGACGTAACCTTTTAGAAAAAAAGACAGTGCTTTTATTTTATGGTGTAAAGTGCTTTTAGCTTCAGGGCTCGGAACGTGAATGTGGTCAACAAACAGCTCCTGCCAGGGATCTTAGTACAGTCGCCGCACGAGTGCTGGGGGATTGTCTGAATCAGTGATCGGGATTCGGACTGGAAAGGGTTAAAGGTCCACCTCTATGGAAATGACAAGATTACGTCGGGCATTGGCTGTCTTTAGAGTCAATACCTTTATCGACTTAAAAGACATAAATAAGCACATATATTCTGTTCCTGCCTCTTGAGTCCGGGGACCAGATTTTTTGGATATCTGTAATCCCCTTTCCAAGGTGCATCGCCACCATCTACATGTGACCTACTTAGTCTGTGATCTGTAGCTAGTCCTGAGAGACTAGTACATTCAAAAACAAAAACAGAAAACCCACCCCCATAAAATCCAACATGTCACAATAACTTAAGGGTCTAGCACCTAAACCCTACCAAAGCAAAGTTGTTCACATTCAGGTTAAATGGCAAATGGACACAGAGGATCTAACCCCAAATATAGTATCTAACCCAATTTAGGTAGGTTTGACTGAGTCTCTCTCCAAAGGAGGGGGAGGGGAGCCTTTGGTAATGCTGTGTATTTATGATGCCATTGAAGTTTCATTGAACTGAACGGAAACATTGAAATCTTACCCTTAATTCATCACCCTGTACCCTTGGTTTTTGCAGCAAATGTAGTAAGGTCACCCATGTATTCCTCCCCCCCTTACTCCCCTTACTCCCCGCCCCCTCCCTCCCCCCCGCCCCCCAAGCACAGAAGGCTGGGCAATGAAATGGAAGGGGTTTTTATGGGCCTGGTTCTTGCCAGGTGATGCTGAACACTCTGGCTAGAATCCTTCATACCATTTCAATGCATGTTTACTTTTGAGAGACAAGGTGGGTGAGATAATATCTTATATTGGACCAGCTTCTGCTGTTTAGAGAAGCTAGTCCAATAAAATATAGTGCCTCATCTACCTTGTCTCTTTACTATCCTGGAATCCACAGAGCTACAACTACACAACTTAACTTTAAGCAGGTAAGTAGTCCCACAATGGTGAAGTTGAATTCAGTGAGGGTGCTTCTGTGCTTAAAGAAGATAGGCATTTGCTTAAATACTTTATAGGATCAGAGCACCTATTAGAATTTAGACTGTTCATCTTTGTCTCTTTAGGGACTCACTTTATGGCTTTCAGTAAAGTCATTGTAAAAAACCCCCTTACACAAAACCATGCCCCATTTTAATTAATAGTAAGGGTTATAATGTAGTTTTGTTTGCTTGTTTGGTGATATACATTAGAAAGGACATGGGAGCAAAGAGACGGTACCCTGTCTATAGCTCCTTTGCGATGTTAATGTTGTGTACAGTGCTCTAACTAACCAACATTTCTAAAGTGCTTGTATTAAAGCATTTTAGCCTTTTTTGCATCTGTTGTAAAGCACTATGTACTATGACTGTGGTGAGCCAATTAAGGAATGAAGCAAGTGAACATGGTACTTTACAAATGTGAAAAATGTTAAGGTGATATTTGCATTAGAAATGTTGAGAGATTAGAGAAGAGCAAAGTCCCTCTCCCCCCCAAAAAAACCCAAAACCAAAACAAAAGAGGTAGTAACACTCCTCCCTATTGTTTTGTTTGGTTTATGTTATAATTTTGTAAGACTCAGCTAGGGCTATTTAAGAAAGGGAGCATCTTCTGTGAAGGAGGACTAGATTTCAGGGAATCTGACTTCTGTTGCTGGTTTTGTTGCTAACTTGCTGTCCAGTCTCAGTTGGAGTCTCTAGGTACTATAATTAATAATGTTTATTCTACATCTACAAAATAAAGACTTATTAAATAAATAGCACTTCACACACACACACACACACACACACACACACCATCACTTTTCCTAAGAGCTTTGTCTGTAGTCCTGATCCTGCAACTTCTGTCTACCCACACCAGGCTTTCATGGACAGGTGTTTGATGTTGCAGGATCAGGACCTAAAGGTGTGAAAGAATATAGTCTGGTTAATAAACAATTATCTTTATCCTGTTTTCTTTGTACCTGTTACATGGGAAACTAGGGTGCACAGTGTATGCCGCAGCAGCTGGCCCTAAGAGTCCTGTGCAAATGTTACTGGTTTTAGGCGTCACACAAATTATTACAATCTATATATGGTATGAGACAGTTCTGCTAACATCATGTTAGGTCACTGGATCAAATACAATGTCAAGGAGCCATTACAAAATGACACCAAGCTCCCCTAGCATTCAGCAATTTTGCATAAATAGACATAGTTGTACACTTTATAACAGGATAAAGTAAAAGCTATTTCTCTGGGCCTTATTGATCTGTAGGTTATTCAGGCAAGATGCAATGTAAGTGGAACACCTA